GAGGATTAGGAACATGTGCTGGCACTAAGTTTAAAAACTAACTGTACTTAAAAGATGTATAAGTGACTATTATTTTCTCTGTTTTGGCGATTTCGGTCGTCACAATGTGGTTACATCAGGTTATTGGGTAAATGATACTTGAACAGAAAAAAAAAAAAACACCCCAAGATTAACAAGTATATTTTTAATTAGCCTAAGAGTAACATAACAAAGGGGAGAAAAATTTCAAAGGTGAAAAGTACTTCAGAGATAATTGAATTTGGTGGTCTACAACCCACTGTTGTTAAGTCCCTTTTGACTCATAGCAACCCTGTACAGGGTTTCCAAGCAGCTGCTGGTGAGTTGGAACTGCTGACCCTAGAGTTTGAACCGTCCTTGAGGTCGAATGCTTATCCTACAGCACTACACCAGGGTTCCTAAATTTCTGCAAGGGGTCTCCAATTCCAAATGCACGTTTACATTTTTTCCATTTATAGAGTGGTGCTGTGGGTTAATGTGCTGGACTGCAAGGTAGGTTTGAACTGCAAAGTTGGCATTCAAACTCACCAGCCGCTCCCTGACAACCCTACACAGGGTCGCTATGGGTCGGAACCGACTCAATGGCACTTAACAACAGTAACAACAATAAATTAATGATATTAAGATTTCAGTCCACACTTACTTACTCACCCAAGCCAAATTTTAAAATCACAAGTCCTTTTACTTGAGAAGAGTGCGAACTACTGAGTGAGAACTACTAGCTTAATTCTTTCATTTCTATGATGAGATGCCTGAGACTCAGAAGAAGAAAGAGACTTGTCAAGATAACAGTGAATTAGTAGCAGAGCTGTTGGGCAAATGCACTTATGCCAGCATATGCATATATCGTGGATACTATCATTTGTACCAGGAGAGAGAAAGTAAACCTTTCCTTCATATTTCAGGTGGCTAGTGGCTACCTCGGATATTTTTGCTAAGTGTTCAAGTGACATCTCTGCTGTTAAGAATCTTTAGTCTTAGGATCAATTATTTTTTACTCAGGTCCTGCGTATGCCTTACTGATTAACTTCCCACCTTAGGACTGCTGCTGTTATTAAGTGCTTGCTGTTGAGTTGGATCCGCCTCATCGTGTCCCTGTACAGTGTCCCCAAGCTGGTAAGTCTGAACCGCCAACTTTGTTGTTAAGAGTCCAGTTCTCATCCTACAGTGTCACATCAGAAGTCCACACTCTATAGCTAGTAGTTACAAAAGATGGAGCTAAAGAAAATCAGTGATTAAAAGAAAAGTTGGCCTTCACTATTTGCCACTTTTCACTCTTACTTACATCTTAGCAAAGACTTTTCTCACTAACACCCTATTCTTTCCACTTACAAAACTCCACTGTAATTATAGTCAGTCCCAGAAAAGTAAAAATTTGCATATTCTCTGATGTAGTATGTCTCTTCAACTGTATAAAATAGGTGACATCAAATCTTATATTTCAAAATTTGTCCAGCTTTGATTAAGGACTCATTAGGAAACTGTTGAATTTTGTATTGAGTCCTTGAAGTGTAATTTTTCAAAAGATTTAAAACATACACAAGGGGATCAATAATCTGGTACAGAGGGGACACAGAAGCTAATTGTATCTTCTCTGAAAAAAAAAAGTATCAATTGATAAAATGCATTTTGATTTTTTCCATTTATTATTGGCAATTAATGCCACAGTTACTTTCCTTTCACATTAACATTAGAATATAATTTTTTAAAAAATCAATGATTAATTGGGCCCTCAAAATAATGGCATAAATAAGAATGTAGGCAATTGGAAGAGGGGGTAAATTCTACAAACTTTATCTCAACTTCTCTCCTACCTTTAAAGAAACAAAGGCAAATGAGAATTTACTGAACCAAATATAACCTCCCCTCTGTTGTAGGAGAATACAGCATGGTACAGTAAAAAGATCTTCATTTCCCTACTGACATGAATGAACTTTCTTGAGCCTTAATTTTCTTCATTATCTACAAAATGGAAAAAACAGACACTCTGTAGAGTTCTTAAAAATATTTAAGGAGATAACATGCAAGTTACCAAAATATCAGTTATCCCTTTTTCCCTCATTTGGCACTATTCTCTCTTCAGTGGCTCTTTCCTAAAACCAATTTTAAAAAGTGTTCTCCTTACTTTCCCCCATTAGTTTTCATTCTTTGCCCTGTATCTGTCCCTATTTATTCTCCATGTTTATCTTGTTCTTTTCTTCCTCACCTTTGAGATACTCCTTCAGGCTGAGGCTGTTCCCCAAACCTACAAAGAATACATTTTTAAAAAAATGAATTTTACTGAACTCGTAAACTCTCCCTCCAAGAGTAAAGAAACTTGTAGAGGAAATAAGACAACTGGAGGAAGCATACTCCCTAACCTGATTAAGTTATACTCTGTCCATATGTAATCCACAGCTCCTTCCCCTTTAGGCCTCTGTATGAACCCAAGACCATTTTACTCCTATCTCAAAATAAAGTAAAAATACTTCACACTCCAAACCTCCCCCAGATGTATTTAAGTTGGGTGAATGTCCTGTGCCCTATCTCTTTGATATGCTGCTTATTTAAATCACTTTATATATGCTTGGTCATCTCATAACAATACAACTTGAAAAAATCACTTTGGTTTTCTCATAAGTCAATATTCAAGGGCTGAGCTTATAAAAAAGAACTATATCCTATCATTAAAGAACATGTTGTGTCAGGCTCTCATGGATTATGTTTTATAAAGGGAAACTAGTAGTTAAGAGAATGAAACAGAGTGCTGTAAGGAAAATGCTTGACTTCACATTTATAACAGCTTTGGATTTTGCTGGGACTTTGCTGAGAGTAGAAATAAGAGCTATCACAGCACCAAAGCTGAACACGCTCATTTCTGACCTGGGCCTCCATGGATTTTTAGATTTCTGACCTTTGCTCTCATCTAATACCAACAATATTTTACCCCCTAATACACCTTTGAGACTATATATGTATGGCTCTATTCTTCACATAGCAAGTATGTCACTCAAGGTCAGATATAATTGAGGAAATACCATGAAAACCATGTTCCCTCAATACAACGGAAACTGCCAGTTAAGCCTCAAGAGCCTATAGTAAAAGAAAACAAAAACCCCATCAAAGTGGTATTACTCAGTCACCAACCTAAAGAGAGAACTTTGACTCAAGGTATAAATGAAGTTGTAATTATATAAATATATTTATAAATATTTATACAATTATATACTTATACATAAGCACTTACACAGACTTAGAAAAAAAAATGTAAGAACATTAATTCATAAAGACTCACTGAAGAAAAACAGAATTTTCCATGATTTCCTAGAAGAGATACATAACTCGTTCTTTAGGAAGGGTCCCTCAAAATCCAACCACTAGAAAACCAATTCTAGCAACAGGTAAGTATCTTTTTTGTTGCCAAGAGTGATCTTAAAGTAGTTGGGAACCTACTAAAGGTCTCTGAGCAACAGCAATTTAGAGCAAGCAGAATAATCAATCAATTGAAGTCCCCAATTGACAAAATATGTCCATTTTACATTATGGTTTTACAACAAGTTAATATTCTGATTTTTCCACCAAATTCACTATTAGCCCTTCAAAGGGCTCCATTTAAAGCTCAAAATGAGAACTGAGCATAAAGTGAAGTGGATAAGTATATATAGTATTATATAGCTCCAAGATGGTATTTTCTAAATAATGAAAAAACAAACAAACCTGTATTAACTACACTTTGAATGTGGTTTTTGGTGGCAGAAAAAAAAAATCTACATCCAACAATTTCTGGCAATTTCTCCCACTTTACTAAACATTTTTTTTTTTCTGAATTGAGTTTAAAGGTCTTCCCCTTAGAGAAGTTTTCAGTTCCAATACCTTTTGCAACAAAACAGCGTGAAGATTTAATAAGCTCAGTTAGTCACCAGAGCCTTTCAAAGACTATTCTAAGCACGTGTCACAAATGAATCATTATTTCTAACCAAAGTAGCTTGGTTAGCAACTCTCAGCTGCATCTCTTTCTTTTTCCCCTGGGACATACATAAGCATGCCCTAAAGCACATAGGACGATCAATAACCATAGTGGTTACAATTACAAGCCATTTTCCTGCATGATTATTGAACAACAGCCTTCCTACAAATCACCTGTGAACCCAGATAATGGAGAGGACATAGGAACTACTAGGCTGTACTGGTAAAAACTGCCAGTACCTTCCAATCCCAGTCACTGCAATTTGCTCACTAACTGTCCATTCCAGGGCTAGCAGAATCAATGTACTTGGTAGAGTAATAATGAAGGAAGCGGTCTCAGGCTTGGACATTCAAATCCACTCTACATATTCACCCTACTTAACACTTATTTTTGTCAATAACACATGTCATGAAAATAATTCTTGGAGCTAAGAAGAAGGGAATCTTCTGAAAAAGAATTTTCATATGTGATTAAGTAATAATCATAAGGGATGCTTTTTCCATGTAAACAAAAAAAGGCTGGATTCTTTGTTACATATTTCTTACATGAAAAACAAAACATGTGTTAGAGAATTCCTTCTCCCTACTGAAAAACAGGGACTCATGAAAAAAGGGGGAGGTTCTTATTCTGAGTCTAGCCATTCCTTAGCCAGAGAAGTCTGAGGAGTAACGTTATCAATTGATCCAACAAAAGCACCGTGCAAGAGACCACTTCATGGAGCACACATTTCCCGCTGCCAGTACTAGGAGAGGTCTTATCTTTACACTTCCATTTGGTCACCAGAATAGGTAAGAAAGAAAAGAAGGAAGCAAAGAATGAAAACTAGGAAAAAGAAGGAAATAGGAAAAGAGAGGAGAAAAAGGGAGAGAGATTGATTATAGGTGAAAGTGAAAATAAAAGTAAGAGCAGGCAGGTGACTTGCTAACTTGCCAACTTTGGCTCTATGCTCCTATGAGCCAAAATGCATACTCAGTAACACGTATCTCACAGGAAAAGGGAAAAAAAGGGGTAAGCTGAGAGAGGCCAGGCTATGGTGTTAATTTCTTTCCTGTACAAAGACAGTCTCTTGAGGACAAAGGCCTGCCTCTTGTAATGTAATGTCATAGTCCAGGTGTGAGAGTTTCCTTCGAGGAAAATTGGTGAGAAGTTCAAAACGTTCGTTTGGATATCCTTTAGACTGGACATGCTTCACCAAAGCCTATGAAAAACGAGAGAAAGACAAAGTTATTAGATAGAAATAAAGGAAAGAGCATGTTAATAATGAATCAAATACAAGATTATTTTTTTACAAATGATATGATTTTACAAATTTTAAGTTATTTTACTCTTTTGGAAGGGTCTACAAAACTCTTTGGATGGGGATATAATTTAGGGTCATTAAGTGATTACTAAAATATACAGGGCTATTATTAATCTCAAAGGAGCTCTGGTAGAGTAGTGGTTACGAATCAGGCTGTGAACCTTAAGGTCAGCAGTTTGCAACTACCAGCTGCTCCGCGGGAGAAAGATGAGCCTTTCTGCTCCCATTAAGATTTACAGCCTCAGAAACCCTGTACAGGGTCGCTATGAGTCGGAACCGACTCCACGGCACATAACAACAACATTATTATCTCTAAATAAATAACTGCCATTTATAAATTATTCTCAACTTTTAAGCATTTAGTCAGTTCTCCTTTATTATCAGAGATGATACATCCTTCCTCATATCTACCCATGGCAAACCTTGTCCCCATGTGTAGCTGGTCCCTTTTGTTCTTGCCTTCTAAGAACCCCTACACTATGGACTATCCCCACTTTTACAAACATTGTCAACATCTTCCTCTTTACATATGCTTCCCATCAAACTCAAATATGCCAAGTTTTTCTTTCAATCCTCTTCCCCTCTCTAATTACTGTTCACTTTCCCCTCCTGCTGCACAACCAAGCATCTCAAAAAAGTGATCTACACTTGTCTTTCTATTGTCTCATTTCCCATTTCTTTCTAAACACTAGACCACAGAGGCAGTGAAGTATCATTATCAGCACCAGCCAGACACAACTCATTCCATTCACACAGTCTTCAAGGGCCAGCCAATCATCTCTACCACACTAATGACCAGGTATAAATGGGATAAGCTAGTCAGGACCTCTGTTTCCCAGGGGTTGAAAGACACACAGAAGAAAGTCCTGTCAGTTGTGGACTTTAGCTGAAAGGTCCTCAGCATCACAGTGATAAACAATGTGCAAATTGAGGCAAAACAACAGCCAGTATACAGAGGGGAGAATAGTATAGCAGAATATCACAAAAGGGAACCAAGTGGGCACAATGAGAAACACACAGAGAAAAAGCCTTGGTTCTTAGCCTCTGCATTTTCAGCTACTAGGATACCCAGGAGGTTTTCTAGTAACCTCACTTCCCTTTTTCCAGATGTAATAACTTCAGTTGGGTTTCTAGTCCATGCAATCACAGAATAGAAAGGCTTTGACTGGAATAGTCTTGGTGACTTGCCTCTTGCCTAAGGCAATTTGGAAAGGAAAGAGTTGGTGTGGTTAAGTGCTGTCCAGTCGGCTCCGACTCATAGTGACCCTGTATAGGTTTTCCAAGGCTGCAAATCTTTATGGGAGCAGAAGAAAGCCTCATCTTTCACCTGCAGAGTGGCTGGTAGGCTTGAATCGCTGACCTTGTGGTTCGCAGTCCATGCTTATCCTACAGAGCCTTTGGGCTTCCCACCACCTGGTTAAGTTTACAGTAATCCACTGTCATTTTTCAAGTTCCATCTGTTTTTTAGGCTAGATAGATGAGTTCAATGGAGAGGTGGTAGGAATCACCACTTCCATATTCTTCGAGCCTTGATAGTGGCACTAATCTCTGCAACCCCTCCAAGAATGCAGTGTTGTTTTTTGATTTACTATTTTCCTAAGTAGAGGTAGTTCTAATGGCTTCCACTTGACTTTTCTACCATGTTAGGGCTCCAATGTGGGGGTTCTGCCAGTTGATGACTATGTCTGTTCTAATTATGCATTCTGGAACTGGAAACTCACTATAGGATGGGTTTGGGGGATCCACTGTGAGATGGGCCTAAACTAAGCCTGCATTAATAAGCTAACCTCAATATGCGTCCACTTTGACTGATGAGCCACAGTGATAGTTCGTGTCTCCTGCAATTATATTTAAGTCAGAGCCAGTATCAAGAAATCCCTCAAAAGTCTGATTGTTTCCTTTTCCCCAATGAACAGTCATTCTTGCAAAAGCCATAGATACCTTTAGGGAAGGCTGGGGAAAGACTAACAGTGTAAATTTTGGGCAGTGTATTGGGATCCTTCCTTAAGGGGACCTAGCCTCCCCATCATTCAAGGGATGGTGGGTCAGGAAACAGAGTATGTAGAGTTAAGGCTCACCACAGTTAGGTTTCCATTAGAAGTCAGACTGAATACCTAATGTCTATTTCAAAGGATCACCAAGCAACATTCACTGGGCTTATTCCATCCAATTAATTAGTTATTCTGCTTCAAGCAAAAGCTTCCAATTTTTATACTTACTAGCAGTTTAGCTTGCTCTGGAAGAGTGATCTGTTCCCTTTTTCCATCTGGATACCGCAACATCAGCTGTGCTTTTGGTCCTGAAGGGAGAATTAAAAAAAAAAAAAGAGCTTAATACAGAAGACTAATTTAGATAGACAAGTATAAATAAATACCTTCAGTTTTAAGGAAAGTTAGTTTAGAATGTAACTTACCATTTATATCTACCCCCTCCACTATTCCATCAGCTTTTTCAGGTGAAATCTCCAGTACTTCTGAATCCACACCTGGCAATCCTTGGTGGTTTGTAGCCATTCCAGGATCAGTCCTGGCTGGGGGTTCAGTTACTGGCCTTCTGTTCTCCTCTTTTCTATGCCCCAAATCTTTGTGGGGAGACTTTCTGGATTTGGCAAGATTTTCTACCTCTTCTTCTTCATCGGAACCACAAACAGATATGAATTCCTCACTACCAGAAAAAAGTTCAGACTCAGATTCTTCATCTGAGCGGCTATCCTGTTTTGTCTGTGTTGAATCAAAGTGTGTCTCTTGCAAGGAGGCTCTGATGGCAGCTTCTAGCTGGCTGTCTTCACTTGCATCTATAAGGCTCTCCTGGGAGATACAGTCATAAAACATAGGTGAGAAAAAAACAAAACAAAAACAAAAACAGTTAAACCAAAATATCGTTAGCAAGTCAGACAGGGCACAGGAAATATCATAGTCATGTTGCCATTATAAATTTCTGCCAATAATTCCTTATAGAAAACTATTCAGCTAAGAATTTCATTTGCCAGGTTTCCTTTGAAGCCTGGAAAAAAGTTTTGTTCCAGAGCTAAAGCAGTACTTAAAGGAGAGTTATAGAATGAAGTGCTTATAATTACAAAATAAAGGTCTGGGATTAATGACCTAAATGTCCTTCTTGAAATGATAGGAAGAAGCACTTATCTATTGTTAGGTGCTGTTGATTTGGGTCCAACTCAGGGCAACCCTATATACAACACAAGGAAACTGCACCACCCTCCCAACTGTTACGTTTGAACCCATTGCTACTGCTACTGTGTCAACCCATCTCATTAAGGGTCTTCTTTTTGCTGACTCTCCACTTTACCAACCATTATGTCCTTTTCCAGGAACTGGTCCCTCATGATTAACAAATCCAAAGTATGTGTCATGAAGTCACACCACCCTGGCTTCCAAGGAGCATACTAGAAAGGAGCGTTCGTCTAAGACAGATTTGTTTGTTCTTCTGGCAGACCGTGATACTGTCAATATTCTTCACCAATACCATAATTCAAATGTATTGCTTCTTTTTGGGTTTTCCTTATTCATTGTGTAGCTTTCACATGTATATAAGGTGAATGAAAATACCATGGTTTGGGTTAGGCAGACCTTAGCTCTCAAAGTGCCACTTTTGTTCTTGAATACTTTAAAAGGGCCTTGTGTAGTATATTTGCCCAATGTGGTATGCTGTTTGATTTTTTTGTCTGCTACTTCTGGGAGCACTGATTGTGGATCCAAATAAAAAGAAACTCTTGAAACTTCAATATTTTCTGTTATTATGTTGTTGTCTATTAGTCCAATTGTGAGGAGTTTTGTTTTCTTTACATGCAGTTGTAATACACACTGAAGGCTGAAGTCTTTGATTTTTATTAGCTCATGCAGAAAAATAAACCACTTTCTTGTCTAAGCCTTTATTTATTAGCATACAGCAAATGAATAACATTCAGAATCTGGTATCAGAAGTGGAATCTGAGGTAACACAAACCATCCCTATGTAGTCATTCTAATTTTACAGTGCCACTCTTTCCCACCCAACGCCTTTACTCAGAAGGTTGTGAACTTAATGTTGTAATTGAGCAACTCACAGGCTCTGGTGGTTGAGAAGATACTTATGACTACAGAAGAATATTTCTTTACACCTTATAAAGGAGTTCTATATGCCACTCCATGACAAGCACTCAAAGTCTTTCTTTAAATAGGCACTAAATTTGACATAATTACAGGAATCATTTCATCACCGAATGATACAGACCACCAAAGTCACATCCTCAAAACTGATTTTAAGCCTCACTGTTATCAAATCCATTAAGCCTGCTAAGTAATAGTATATTGTGGAAATTAATAATCTCAGGAAGGACTACAGAGGCCCTAAAGTTATATAACTATTGTTGTCATTAAGTGCTGTTGAGTCAGTTCAACTCAGTGACCCTGAATAGGGCTTCCGAGGCTGGTGAGTTTGAATTGCTGACCTGATGGTTCAAACCAAATTTGTGGTTCAGTGCATTATCCTACAGCATCACACCAGGACTCCATATAACTAATAGTAATGTACAACCAAAACCATGAGATTTTGCTTTAGCAAAAATACCATTTCTACTGCTGCTTATACAACAAGTGCTGCCCCAAAAGTAGATGCTTCTGCAACCAGGCCTGTCAAATCAGTCCTGCTTACTGTTACATATTCATGCTTAGCTCTAAATCTAGGTCACATGCCTGTACCCTAGCTATAAGGGAGTCTGAGAATGAGTCTTAATGATTTCACTAAGCTAGAACTTTTATGTGAGAAATTATCAACTATAAGGAGGGTGTCTAGCCACAAATAATAAATGTCCACTATTTACATAGTAAATTTACATCATGGGAGTCCTGGTGTGGCACTGTAGATTAATGCGTTGGACTGAAAAGTCAGTTTGAATTACAAGGTTGGTGTTCAACCTCACCAGTTGTTCCTTGGAAACCCTATACAGGGTCACTATGGATCGGAACCAACTTGATGGCACTTAACAACAACAACAACAACAACTTACATCATTGTTTTACCATCTCAACCTAAATCATTTCATACAAAATTAAGTATAATTACACTTAATTGCCCACCATCAATTCCTAGTCATACTTACTGAACGGGCACATTTTTTGGGAGGACTGCTAGAAAGTCCATCCAGTTGCCCATGTTCACCCAGGAATCCTGTCACTTGGTCCAAGAAAGAAGAGACATCTAATTGGTGCCACTCTACTAGCTTCTGACCTAAAGATTAAAAACCAGAATTAAAAACAAAACACACACACACAGAATACTCTTTCTGAACATTCTACGCACAATTAAAACTTACTGTGAACACTAGCCTATAAATCTCAACAGCTTAATCAGGTAGTGTCTTTATAAATTCAGAAGATACCTCAATTATACCCACCTAAGAGATTCCCAGCGATCATCATGTTGGGGCAACTACTTTATCTGCTGATATCACTGACTGCCATTTAGGAGGAAGAGATTCAGAAAAGGCCTTACACATATGTAAAACTCAACCAATTAAAAACAAAACGACAACAAAAAAAAACTCAACCAATTAAGAAAACCAACTCGGCCTGCTGCTTCTTAGGCGTGGTTACAACCAAGATATTAGAATAATCTCAATATTTTAATGATAGGGAACTTACAGGGATCCCTCATATAATTATAAGAGAAATGAACAGAGCAGTTAATTTTTAAAATAGCACAACCACACAAATATAAAATATTAACATCTCTCAAAGTTGCCAGAAACAGATTCTCTAACTATAGACTTCAATAGGTGTTTAAAATATATAAGTGCATGAATAAGAAAGAATCCTTCACCTAAATTATTACAATTTTGAAATTAAATTCAGTCAAATATTGAAAATAATTTGTTTACATAATTGAAAGACAAATTATCAGGGCTATAAGCTGATATATATCTTACCTGTCCGTGGGTCCAAGATGGAAACATAGGGGAAATCCCCTAGCTTATAAAATTGTATGTATCTCTGACCTTCCTCACTGTCATGATAAACCTGTTAAATCATCAATATTTAAAAAGTTAATCTCTAAAAAAGTACCCAACATATCTTTATCATCTACCAACATCCCTTAAGTCTCCAAATTTAATATATTTTGGTATATATTTTAAGGTCTTATTCCATTTCAGAACAAATGAAGGTCATCAGGTGTTGTTGTTGTTGTTAGGTGCCATCAAGCCAGTCAGTACTGACTCATAGCGACCCTATGTACAACAGAACGAAACACTGCCTGGTCCTGGGCCAACCTCACAGTTGTTGCCATGCTTGAGCCCATTGATGCTGCCACTTTGCCAATCCATCTCACTGGGTGTCTTCCTCTTTTTCTCTGACCCTCCACCTTACCAAACATGATATCCTTCTCCAGCGACTGCTCCCTCCTGACAATATGTCCGAAGTATGAGAGACGAAGTTTGACCATCCTGGCCTCCAAGGAGCACTCTGGCTGCATTGCTTTCAACACAGATCTGTTTGTTCTTTTGGCAGCCCATGACACTTTCAATATTCTCCTCCAACACCGTAACTCAAAAGCATCAATTCTTCTACATTCTTCCTTATTCACGGTCCAGCTTTCGCATGCACTTGAGGTTACTGAAAGCACCATGGCTTGGGTCAGGTGCACCTACCTTAGTCTTCAAGCTGACATCTTTGATCTTCAACACTTTAAGAAGGTCTTGTGAGCATATTTGCCTAATGCAATACAACATTTGATTTCTTGACTACTGCTGCTTCCATGAGCGTTGACAGTTGATCCAGGAAGAATGAAATCCTTGACAACTTCAATCTTTTCTCCATTGATAAGAATGTTTACTGGTCCAGGGGTGAGGATTTTTGTTTTCTTTACATTGGGATGTAATCCATACCGAAGGCTGTGCTCTTTGATCTTCATCAGTAAATGTTTTAAGTCCTCTTCACTTTCAGCAAGCAAGGTTGTATCATCTGCATATCGCAAGTTGTTATGAGTCTTCCTCCAATCCTGACGCCATGTTTTTCTTCATATAACCCAGCTTCTCGTATTATTTGCTCAGCATACAGGTTGAATAAGTATGGTGAAATATAACCCTGTTGCACACCTTTATAATTTTAAACCATTCAGTGTTCCCATGTTCTGTTCAAACAACTGCCTTTTGGTCCATGTACAGATTCCTCATGAGCAGAATTAAGTGTTCTGGAATACTCATACTTCGCAATGTTGTCCATAGCTTGTCATGATACACACAATCGAAAACCTTTGTGAAGTCAATAAAGCAGAGGTAAACATCCTTCTGATATTCTCTGCTTTCAGCCAATAGGAGAGATATCATCAGCAATGATATCCCTCATTCCAAGTGTACTTCTGAAACCGGCTTGAACCTCTGGAAGTTCTCTGTCAATGTATGCTTGCAGCCATTTCTGTATTACCTTTAATAAAACTTTACTCGCATGGGATATCAAAGAGATTGTCCGATGATTTCCGCATTCCATTGCGTCACCTCTCTTTGGAATGGGCACAAACACAGATCATCAGGTGTGAGCTCCCTCAACTTCCTGTCTTCCACTCCAGCAGTTCATTGGAAATCTTGTACAGGGTCATTATGGGTCAAAACCAACTCAACGGCTGCAACTTAACACCAACAACCACTCCTTTTGGAAACTCAAACACCAATCCACTCTACCTCGCTCCACAGTTCAGAAGACGTGTTGCTTTCTGTTCAAGTATCTCTGTCTACTATGTTCTTGATTCCATCTCCTTCAAGGTATTTTGGCATCGATTATTCCCACCTTCATTTATCCTTTATTCTGTTCTCTACTAGCCAGCCATTCTCTCCATTAGCTTATGGTGGTGGTGGTGGTGGTGGTGGTGGTGATGATGTGTTGTGGACTCAGTTCCAACTCACAGCGACCCTGCGTAGGGTTTCCGAGGCTGTAAATCTAGCTCAAATACCTCACTTCTTATAAAAATATCTCTTCTGTTCCCCATCTCTAATGTTCTATTTTCTCTTGCAACTTAGTTCCTAAGAGTTGTCCATATTTCATATCTCCACACATACCTTATGTGGCACTGTAGGATAAGCACAGGGCTGTGAACTACATGGTTGGCAATTCAAACCCACCAGCGGCTCCTTGGAAATCCTTACAAGGGTTGCTATAAGTTGGAATTAACTCGACAGCACTTAACAACACACATCAGCCATTTCTTCAGTTCCATTGCAATAATTCTATATTCTGTTGAGGCAGTACTATCTAGCTTCTATCTCCATCATTCTGATAAAACATTCTACAAAATCACAATGACTTTCCAACCAACAATGCCACAGATAAGACAGCCTACTCTCTGGTTTCCCTATACCATTTTAACCTTTCTTTCTTACAGTCCTTAACAAGCTGTCCATTCCCAACTACCCCTTAAATGCTAGTGTGATCCTTGGTACTATCTTCAGCTCTCTTCCCTCAGTCTTATAAAACCAGTTGTAGGCCAAATGATTTCTAGTTACCTATCTAGAACTGTCTTTTAGGTTCAGACTTTTTAGTCTCTCAATAAGAATGTCCAAAATCACTTTCAAATTTGTTATCTTGTTTCCCAAACTTACTTTCATTCTGTATTCTCCATCTTAGTGACATCAAATTTACCCTTTCCTTTCCACCAAAATTAATGTCAGTAGTATGAGTTCCTTCTAAGTATCGATCTCACTAAGTTCACCTATCCGCAATCATTGTTGAGAACTTCCACCCAAATTTGACCACTTTTACTCCTACTTAAGATACTTCCCAGGAATCCTGGTGTGGCACTATGGGTTAATGTACCAGACTGCAAAGCCATTAGAATTGCAAGGTCGGCAGTTCAAGCTCACAAGCTGCTCCTTGGAAACCCTATACAGGATCGCTATTGACTCGACGACACTCAACAACAACAACAAGATACTTCCCTAGTCACCTAATGTTTTAAAATAAAGCCCAAGCTTCTCAGTGCAATATAAAAGGTTCTTTATGATGTGGCCCACATCCCACTGAACATCCAGATATTATTTAATCTCTTCCACTTTCCCAAAGAGACACTTTCATTTTTGAGCTTCTAACTTTATATATTTGATTCTCTGCCAGGAATGCCCATCCGTTTTTACCTATCTGGCAAACTTTTATTAACCATCAAGTCTAGCATAAATATAAGCTCCCCAAGAAATGAATCCTTGATTCACCCCCCAAAATTGCTAGACTCTCAACTACACACATCTTAATAAATCACACTCTATTAAGATGATAAGCTTGAGTACACAGAGAAGATGCTTAATATTTGATGAAAGAAAACAAAGAAATTTCACCATTCAGAAAAAAATCATATTAAATTTGTTGTTGTTTGAGGAGCAGCAGGTGGACTGAACAGCCAACCTGTGGTTTGCAGTTAGGTGCTGAGTTTGTTGTTAAGTGCTACCGAGTCATTTCTGACTCATAGCGACCATGTTTAGGTTTTCTGAAGAGCGGCTGGAGAATCTGAACTACCGACCTTGCAGTTCAAACCAACCTTGCAAGTCTGTGCATTACAGTGCCACACCAGGTCTCCATTAAATTTAGAAGCCCAAAAAACAAATAGGCAAATTAATAATATTAAAAGGGTACCATGTAGTGAGAAAAAAATTAAGCTCTTCCAAATTTCCTATTATTTTTCATTTAAAAAAAGAATTAGAATAAGATTATCTAACCTTATACCTTGATAACTTACTCTAAGAATTTAAGAATTTCTACACCTGCACAGTACAATATGGTAACCTCTAGCAATAGTGTGATGCTGTTAGGATAAGCTCAGGGTCACAGGGTCTGTTTGAACCATAAGATGGGTGGTTCAAACTCACCAGCCACTCCTCGGAAACCCCATATTGGGTTGCTATGAAACCCTATATAAGGTTGCAATGAGTTGGAAACCAACTCAATGGCACTTAACAAGAAGCAACATATGTTTTTTTTAATTATATGGTGAAAAAGATGTCCTGGATATACTGATTTAAACAAAATACATTATTATTTTCACTTGTCTATCACTTTCTTTTTAATGGAGTCCTGGTGTGGCGCAATCAACTGCAAGTTCCGAACCACAAGGTCTGTTTGAACTACAAGCTTAGCGGCTCAAACTCACCAATTGCTCCTTGGAAACCCTATACAGAGTTGTTATGGTTGGAACCAACTCAGTGACACATAACAGCAATATCCACAATTACCTTTGTATTGAAAATGTCAAGCCATGGTATTTTCAATATCTTCATATACATGTGAAAGGTGGACAGTGAATTGGGAAGACCACAGAAGAACTGATGCATTTAAGTTATGGTGTTGGAGAAGAATATTAAAAGCACCACAGACTGTTAGAAGAACAAACAAATCTATATTGGAAGAAGTACAGTCAGAATGCTCCTTAGAAGCTAGGATGGCCAGAATTCATCTCTATTACTTCACACATATTATCAGGTGGACATCATGCTTAGTAAAGTGGAGGGTCAGTAAAAAAGAGGAAGACCCTCAATGAGATGGATTGGCACAGTGGCAGCAGCAATGGGCTAAAGCATAGCAATGATTATGAGATTGGTGCAGGACCAGAAAGTGTTTCATTCTGTTATGTATAAGGTTGCCATGAATCGGTACCACCTAAACAACCATCATCTTTTTAAAGTGACTACTAGAAAACTTTTCCTTCCTCTATCAAGACATTTAAACTCTCTGGGATGTTACATGGCTTGGTTTTCATACCTGCCTCCCGCCCCCTTTAATGCTGCTCTTTTACTTGTTTTTAGTATTTCAGCCACCATGGGTATTTTTAGTTTTTTATAAGTCATAATTTAACTCCCATTATTTTATCCCACTTCTAACCCAATTCTTCCACCTCAACTCCCCACACTGCAAAAGTAAAATACTATAATGAAATTTAACTCTCCTTCCCACCTGCCAGAAAATGAAATGTTCCCGGATAATATTCTTCACAGCTTCATTGCTCCACACATCACGGTTGAGGCACTGGCATGCAAAGTCTTGCACATTTTGAATGTTTATCATCAGCCACTTATTCTGCATCTGGCCACACTCTTTGGCCTGTAGGAGGAAAGTTACACATGTATTAGGTGACTGACGTTTCGAAATTCAACTGTTCTCTTTTCATAAAAATGCAGTTTTTCCTCAAGTATGACATCTAGAACTTTAAATACATACATATAATTTACATTTAATCTGAACATGTGCATATTATACTGTCTCTTTCCAAGCATTTCTGACATTCAAATGAACTGTTTACAAATTTCTCAATTATCAAAAAAAAAATAAAGCGGTGTTGAGTCAATTTTGTTTTATCAACTGTTGTTATAACACTAGAATTTTTAATGTTTATCTAAGCATCTTTACTCGGAAAAGATTCTATAAACTTAAGGTTAACAAATCACATCAACAAACACAACTTTCCTTTAATAACTGTGACCAGTGTAGGTATATTACTTTATGCTGTTTTGTTTTCCAAGTTATATTTTCTACACAATTTTCAAATATCATATTCATCTGTTTAGCTGTCTTTATACTACCATAGAGTCCTGGTGTGGAGCTGTGGATTAATGCACTGGACTTTATATAAACTTGATTTGAACCACAAGGTCGGCGGTTCAAGCTCACCAGCTGCTCCTTGTAAATCCTATACAGGATCACTATGGGTCAGAATCGACCCGACAGCATGTAACAACAACCAATATTACTATATCCTCTTTTTCAAATTACTTCTCCAGTATTAAAACAAAAAACCCACAAAACAAACAGTTGTTACTAAGTCAATTCCAACTCATGACAACAACCCCATGAGTGTCAGAGTAGAAATGTACTCTATAGGATTTCAATGGCTGAGTTCTTAGAAGCAGACTGCCAGATATTTCTTTCAAAACACCTCTGGGTAAATTCAAACCTTTACCTTTTGGGTAGCAGTCAAATGCATGAAATGTACCATATATGGGCTCCTTCTCAATAACTGTTGTTGTTAGGTGCCAATGAGTTGGTTCCAGCTCACGGCAACCCTACACACAACAGAAAGATACACTTTCTGGTCTTGTGTCATACAATTATTATATCTGAGCCTATTACAATGCAGCCACGATGTCAATCCATCTTGTTGCAGGTGGGAGGGTTGGGGGGGTGGGGAGGTCTACCTCTTTTTCAATAACCCTATACTTCTACCAAGCATGATGTTCTTTTCCACGCACTGGTCCCTTCTGATAACATGTCCAAAGTATGTGAAACCAAGTCTCACTGTCCTTGTTTACAAGGAGCCTTCTGGCTATACTTCTAAGATAGATTTGTTTGCTCTTCTGGCAGTCCATGGTACTTTCATTGTTCTTCACCAACAAACAGCACAATTCAAATGTACTGATTCTTCTCCAGTTCTCCTATTCACTGTTCAACTTTCACATGACTATGAGGTGATTGAAAATACCATGGCTTGGGTCAGGTGCACCTTAATCCTTTAAGTGACATCTTGTTTCTTTCACATGTTAAAGAGGTTGTTAGCAGATGTGCCCAATGCAACACTTTGATTTCTTTACTGCTGCTTCCACGAACACTGTTGAGTCAAATAAAATGAAATCCTGATAACTTCAATCTTGTACTTGTTTATCATGTTGCTTACTAGTCGAGTTATGAGGATTTTTGTTTTCCTTACAGTGAGTTACAACTCAAACTGAAGGCTGTATTCTCTGATCTCCATCAGTAAGAGCTTCAAATCCCTTTTCCTTTCAGCAGGCAAAGTTGTGTCAACTGCATATCAAAGGTTGTTAATGAGTCTTCATCCAAACCAGATGAACATTCTTCTTCATACAGTCCAGCTTCTCACTGGACTGTTTGCTCAGCACACAGATTTAATTAGTATGGTAACAAGATACAGCTCTGATGTTGTACACCTTTTCTGGTTTTACGTCACGTAGTATCCCCTTGTTCGGTTCAAAAGACTGCCTCTAGTTCCACATTAGTATGATTAATTGTTGTGGAATTCCATTCTTCACAACGTTCACAATGCTATCCATATTATGTTATGATCCACTCCAAAGTTTTGGGGTTTTTTTTTGATGCTTAAACAAACAAATTATTTCACAGTTTAGGAAGTTGGAAGTCTGAATTTAAAGTGCCACCTAGAGGGAAGGCCTCTCTTAGTCTCTTAGTCAGGTCTGGGGGGGGTAATGTTTATCATCAATCTTCCCCTGGATCTAGGAGTTTTTCAGTCCAGCAACCCAGGGTCCAAAGGACGTCCTCAGTCCGTGGTTCTTTTTTTTCTTTTAAAGTTTTTATTGTGAAATGAATGAAAGTTTACAGGGCAGATCATCAGTTTTACATTCAACAAATAATATACTTTGTTTCATTATAATTATTATAATCCCCTCTATGTACCATCAGTTAACAGTATTTCTCTCTACTCATTTTAGTTTTTTTTTAACACTCAGGCATATATAATAATTTACACCACCAAAGGGCACGTCTGCAAGTCTGCCTCCCGGTCGCCAGCTATCAGTCCCTCTCTTCCCATGAATCTAGAGTCTTCAGATGCTCCCTCTCTCCATGTCCCCATCTCTGCTTCCATCTCTGGTGTCACTGCTTCTCTGGATAGGGTCCCGCGTTTCTGGACTGTAAGATTAACTTTGTCACAAAACTTCTACGTTTACAATTGTGACAGTCACAATTAGTCATGATAACAATTACTCACTATTGAATCATAGAGATCTTATCCCCATATCTTTTTACCAGACCTATCTAGACAAGATGAAAACTAGTCAGTAGGGACTCTTTCCCCCATGCACACTTAAACTAAACTCCCTCTTGAAACTTTGTAAGCCAGTCACTTTGTGCCTTTATCTCCCCCATATTACAACAATAATGTCTAAGTTGTTGGTGCCTATCTACTCTGTATACAGAGGGGATAGCATTGATACTTGATGTGAAGACTCCTTCCCTCCCTGTAGGTATTTTGAGCTACTACCTCCATGAATAATGAGCTCTGGTAGCGTAGTGGTTACGAATCGGGCTGCGAACCTTAAGGTCAGCGGTTCGAAACTACCAGCTGCTCTGCGGGAGAAAGATGAGGCTTTCTACTCCCATAAAGATTTACACCCTCGGAAACCCTGTACAGGGTCGCTATGGGTCGGAACCGACTCGACGGCACTTAACAACAACCACCACAACAACAACCTCCATAAATATAGAGCAGGTTCATCAAATTGTAGCAATTTACCCTTGTTTCCTTCATCGAAAATTGTGGGTTTTTTTTTTTTTAAATCTTCCTCTAGTCAAGTTCTGATTATCAAGCCATTGCGGCTAGGCCAAATAATGGGTACTATCTGAAAGTTTGGGTGTTCTTGTGCGTCTCCCCTCCCTTCGTATCAGCTGGATGCTTCACTCTCAGCTCTAGCCCTCTGTAGCTATGTCCTTGTCCATGGGCTCAGGTGTCCCCAGGGCTCACTACACTTCAGACCAACCAGCCCTTCCTCTTCTCTCTCTCAACTCCAGGTCAATGGGAGTCTATGGAACATGGTTGAACTCAGCCCATTTCTTCATTGCTGCCTTCTCCCTCTTCCACTCACCAGTAGATCAACATGGGCACCAGCAAGCTTACATGCCTACTCTTGTGTTCCCTTTGTTTCAGTCTTAAGAGAGGAGTTTGTCGTGAAGGGACTTCATTGCTTGCCTTGATGGCTTCCTGACGAACAACTTGCTTATTCTTGTAGTAGCCAATTAGGCTGCCATTTTTGTTTTGTGTTTTTCCTGATGATATTTCTCTGAAGATGTATCTTCTGTCGTTCTCAGTTGTTTCAGGCTGGTCTGCTTGTCCTTTCTAGTGGGAATGTCCCACCTCAGAAAGTTCCGAATGGGGACAGTCAAGTGTCTTTGCACAATAAATAAAACAAAGGTAGATATCTTTCTGGTATTTCCTATTTTTAGTCAAGATCTATCTTAGGTCAGTATTGCTTGTTCCACATCCACCTTCTGAATCCGGCTTGAATTTCTGGCAGCTTCGTATCGATGTACTGTATTCTTAACCTGTACTACAAAAATTCAAATCTATCTATTCTCCCTTGGTCTTCCTTTTTTTTTACTAACTTTCATGTGCATTATAAACTTACCCACAGCAATCAAGTCGACTCCAGCTCATAGCATCCCTATAGGGCAGAGTAGAACTGTGCCACAGGGTTTCCGAGACTGTAAATCTTCACGGGAGCAGACAGACTTATCTTTCTTCAGAACAGCAGGTAGTGGGTTTGAACTACAAATCTGGCAGTTAGCAAACACTTAACACATTGTGTAACCAGAGCTTCCTCACATGCACCATTGGGCAATTGACAACAGCACGGCTTGGGTCAGGCACACAAGATGACATCTTTTTAACACTTTAAAAAGATCTTTTACATTAGGCAAATCTGCTACAAAAGACATCTTTAAAGTGTTCAAGAGCAAAGACATCAGTTCAAAAATACCAAAGCCCTAAGTTTTGGTATTTTCAGTGTATCATATGTGAAGTCTTAGTGTGGTGTCATAGAATAAGCACTGGACTACTAACTCCAAGATCAGTGGTTCAAACCTACCAAGCACTCACTGGAAACCCCATACAGGGTTGCTATGAATCAGAACCAAGTTGATGGCACTTAACAACAACACAGGCATATGAAAGTTGAATAATTAATAAGGAAGACCATAGAAGAATTGATGTATTTGAATTATGGTGTAGGTGAAGCATACTGAAAGTACCACGGACTACCAGAAGATCAAAAACATGTCTTAGAAGATGTACGTTCCTTAGAAGCCAGGATAGCCAGATTTCATCCCTTGTACTTTGGTCACATTGTCAGAAGGGATCATTCCCTGAAGAAGACATCACCCTTGGCAAAGTGGCGGGTCCACAAAAAAGGGGAAGACCTCCAATAAGATAAGACTAACATAATGGTAGCAACAATGGGCTCAAACATAACAATTGTGAGGAGGATACAAGACTAAGCAGTGTTTTTGGTTTTTTTTTCCACACTCAGGCATATATAATAAATTACATCTCCAAAGGGCACATTCTGCAAGTCTGCTCC